TGGGCCCCTTTCTCTCGCAGGCTCATACTGCAGACGGTTCGGTCCGGGCCTGTCCTGTCACACTTGCCTGAAGATCGGTTTCAAGCTTTGAGTGCTTACTGGCGCCCTGTCTTCTCCCGAGGCTCTGTCCCAGGCCCCCGCATAGAGGCCTACCTCCAGGATCACCTGAAAGCCCCCATCCAATGCGAAGTCCCACCTCCCACTAAAGCTGCTGTCCGTCGAGCCGTGCGAGGTGCACGGCGCTCTGCCCCAGGTGTGGGCGGCATCCCCTATGCCGCCTGGAATGCTTCTGATTGCTGTGTCGACGTCTTGTGCAACACCCTCGACTGGGTGCTCGGCGGGGGGGCCCTCTTCGATGCCGCGAGTGTCACGTTGCAGGCCTTCTTGCCCAAAGGATCTGAGGAGGAGGGCGAGGCCTCTGGAGGCTGCACGCGATCAGCTGACAAAATTCGAGTGCTCGGGCTGCGAAATACCGACCTGAAAATCATGACTTCTGTTGTCAACCGATCGCTCCGTAAAGTGGTGGAGGAGGTGGTTCCCTACTCGCAAAGGGGGTTTGTGGTCGGCCGTAACTTCGGATACAATGTGATCGAACTCGACGGCATAGGAAGGCTTGCTGCTGCTCACCCTCGCTCCGACCTGTGCGACCCCCTCCTGATCTCGTTTGATTATGGCCAGGCGTTCCCCAGTCTTTCCCAAGAGTACCTGCTGATGTTGATGAATAAGCTCGGGCTTCCTGGGCCCCTCATGTGGTTCCTCTCGTGGCTGTACCTAGCGATCCAAGGAGTGGTGGCCCATGCTGGCCAGCTTATCCCTATATACTGGTTGCGGTCTGGGATTATTCAAGGATGTGGGCTCTCAGGGAGCCTCTACGCCCTCGGCACGGCCCCCTTTCTCTGTGCGCTGGAGGATACCCTGGAGACTCCTGGATATGGTATTGCTCGTGCGTGTGCTGATGATATAGGAGCGGTAGTGTATGAAGCAAGGCATCTCAATGTCCTGTATGATGTTATGGTGGTCACGGAGTGTCTCACAGGGCTGAAGCTCAAGCCCCTGAAGTGCAACATCGTCCCGCTCAAGGGGGTGTTCACCGAGTCCCTCCAGCTCCACACACGTTCCCTCGTGGAGCGCCTCGTCCCTGCCTGGCGCGCCTTCGAAGTGGCCTCCCGCGTCCTCTACCTGGGCCTCCTGCTGGGCCCCGCCGGCACAGTCGACATGCAGTGGCTCGCACCGTTGCAGAAGCTCAAATTGCGGGCCCGCCTGCTTGGGTCTGGGGCTGCCCCCGCCAGTATCAACGGTGTACTGTATTCGTCCAGGGTGTTCTCAGTGGTCTCCTATGTGGCCCAATTTGTTCCGCTCCCTCAACGACACGCAGCTCTGGAATTGGGGATTCTTGCGCAGGTCTTCAGAGCCCCCCTTGGCATGCTCACTACGGCTGGCTGGGTCCAACTTGGTGAATGGGGTGGCCCTCAGATCCCCCTGCTGCTTCACTCCTGCGCTGCTGCCTATGCTCGAGCCGCCTTAGTCACGTTTTCCAACCACACTACCATTCTTGATCGCTTCCGACAACTTGAGTCTGAATGGAGATATTCCCTCATGGAGGGCCGATACGATGATGCACCACTGGCGGCGATCCGAGCACGTGAAGATGCACTTGACCATATTGGCACACACTGGCAATCCCCGTCGTTCTTGTTGGGATATGCTTCGCTTCTCCACCCAGGCAGAGAGACGGCCTACCCCGCTGAGATCACTGACAGGTGCGTGCAAGCTATCGCCCAGGAGCTCCAGGTCACCGACAGGAAGCCCAAGCCTCAACGTGCAGCCACACGTGCTCTTCGGGAGATGCTGGTGACGCCTTTCCCACTAGCTTCGTTGGTGCAGCGACGCCTTCTGAAATATGTACATGAATGGGAGCCGTTTCTTGATCGTGTGGCGTGGACTGAGATTGGTGGACTTCTCTCGCTGGTTCCCATGAGCTGGGCCATGCCTGTCATTAAAACTTACTGCTCGGGATGGCTTACTTCTTCGCGCATAAAGTATGCTGGAGGCTCCCGCTCGTGTATCTTTGGTTGCCGTGCGCATGCCGATCGACAGTACCATTACATGCGATGCCGTCCATTGTGGACGGCTGTGTACCAAGCACTGGGATATGAGATGCAGCCGCTCATTCCTGATCGCCTGGGGCTCCGGCTTCCTGGCCTCATGCATGTCGAAACCTTGGCGGTGGCCTTCAACATTTACCACAATATGCGCTTTCGGTTATACGTCACTGCTAATGACCTTCGTTCTAGTGCGCGCGCTGCAGTCAGAAACCTGAGGTTGGCCAAGCCTGATGCTCAACTGCAAAAGAAATGGCAGCCTCCTGAAGCACTGATCCTCCGCCGCCTACCGCAACCCACGTCGACCTCTTCGACCTCATCTTCCGATGCTGAGGATGAAGAGCTGCATCCCGATCAACCTGGAGATCCCGACGACGGTGATGGAGTGGCCGCTGGTGGGCATGGACACACCTCGTTGAACCAGACCTCGGACAGCGAGCCCCGCGACGACACTGATGAAGAGTGGTGCTATGGACCTGGCAGGGGCAGGAATGATGGTCAATCACCTTGTCTCACCCCGAGGCTTGTTCCCACGGTTCACAACGATGACGGCAGTGTCTCTACTCCCTCCATACCTGGTACCCCATCGACTCTGATTGCGACGCCCTCCAGAGTCGGACACATCGACGACCTCGACGGCCTCGAATCTGGCAGAACGCCAAGTCCTGTGCTCCTCGAGCAGGCTCAATCGTCACCGCGGTGGTGGAGTGCAGATAATGTCAGAACGCTAAGTCCTGGCAATGGGTGCTCCTCGAGCCCAGGTGCCCAGGCTTCTAGAGTAAGTTGCGAGGAGTTGCTGCATCTGTCTCCTGGAGTCGCGACACGGGAAGTTAGAACGCTAAGTCCTGGCGGTGGGTGCTCCTCGAGCCCGTCGCATCAGGCCTCTGGAGTGAATTGCGAGGAGTGGTCTCACTGGAGGACAGCCATCAGAACGCAAAGTCCTGCGCAGGGGTGCTCCTCGAACCCGCTGCCGCAGGCTAGAGTAAATTGCGAGGTGACGGTCTCTGGCTCTGTGCCGTCTCTGGTCGTGCGACGCTCCCGTCTGGGGTGTATTCTGGCGACGACTCCTGTGCGTGCTGCTGCTCCTTCGGCGCCCTGTGCTCCAATGTCCGTGTCGGGACTGGCTTCATGTTCTTCGATGACTTTGCCTGGGATCTCTTCTAGCTCCCCCTGTACCCTGATGGCCATCCCGTCGACGCCGATTACCCTATGTGCTTCTCGAATGGCGTCGCCGTCCTCTTCTGTTGCCACGGGTCGTGCATCTTCGGCCACACCGAGTTCTCTGAGGCTATCTCCTCCCTCCCCGCGATCCGCGTCGTGGACCCCTCCCCGCTCTGAGCACTTTCTCTCCCCCGTCGCTCAGTGCTCCTCTCCCCACGCGCTCAGGCCTGTCCGTCGCAGTATATTTTCGACTGCCCCTCTGTCTTCCTCTGCTCCCCCCGTGACCTGGTCCCCCAACGCGCCTGTTCATTTCTCTTTGTCTCCTCCCTCTCTCGGTCCTTCGCTCCGTCTGAGAGCTGCTGGTGCTGATGCGTGCTCCTCCCCTTCTCCCCTCCTCGCTTTGCGTTCGTCGCCCGTCCCGCCCTTCGTTGGCGCCTGCGCGCCCCGCTTGAACCCTGCCCCGCTGCCTCCGAATCCCGCTCCCTTCCGCTCTCAACATCCTCAGAATGAAAATGATATAAATTCGACGGCAATCCGCCGTTCATCGTGTGCGGCAGCCTCGGCGGCCTCAGCTACAACAGCTTCGACAGGAGGCGCGCCCCTGCTGCCCCAGGCGCCGTGCTAGGCGCGGGGAGCTGACCTCTGGGTACGCTTGTCTCCTCCTCTTCCTCCTCCTCTTCCTCCTCGCTGAGATCCGTCGTCGCGAAGGAGCTGCGAAACCGTGCTAAATCGCTACCAAAGCGCCAAATCCCCCATCTGTCTGCGGCACCTCTCGAGCTGGAACGACCCCTGAGGGGCTCCGGGTCCCGACGTTAGGCGAATAATCGCCCAGTGCGGAAAGATTGCGACGCCGGGATCTCAAGGGGAACGGCCCGTGAGTGGGGACCCAGGGAGGATATGTTTTTTCCATCCGGCCTCTTCTTTGGGGGGGGATTTCGGCCTCCAGGGCCCGTTCTCTGGCCCAGGTGCCATCAAAAATGGAAGCGCGATAACGCCCCCCCCGGTGAAGGGGTCGGTGCGCTCTCGGTGCCACCGCGGTGGATCGGCCCGCCCAGGCCACGATCGCGGCCAGGGCCGATCACGACCTGAGCGGCGACGATCTGGCGACGATCGTTTGCATCGTCGTCGTCGTCGTCGTCGTCGTCGCCGTCGTCGTCGTCTTCGAGGTTTGCGCCGTCGTCGTCGTCGTCGTCGTCGTCGTCGTCGTCGTCGTCGTCGTCGTCGTCGTCGTCGCCGTCGCCGTCGCCGTCGCCGTCGCCGTCGCCGTCGCCGTCGCCGTCGCCGTCGCCATCGCCGTCGCCGTCGCCGTCGCCGTCGCCGTCCGTCGCCGTCGGTCGTCGCCGTCGCCGTCCGTCGCAGTCGGTCGTCGCTGTCGCCGTCGCCGTCGCCGTCGGTAGTCGCCGTCGTCGCCGTCCGTCGTTGCCGTCGCTGCCCTCGTGGGCGCCCGCGGCGGCGGAGGGGGAGGGTCGGGAGGGGGTGACGATCACGACGGGAGCCCAGACATCCGACGTCTCGATTTTTTCGAGACGCGGGCCCCCGACCTCCCGACCACTTCCCTGGGGCCGGTTTTTCATCCCGAGTCGTTTTTTGACGGTCCCGAGGCGCGGCGAGGGCCCCTCGAGGCTGAAAACTATGAAAAACCTCCGTCTCGATTTTTTCGAGACGCCCGACGTCTGGGAGTGGCGACGATCTGGCGACGATGGCGGCGGCGACGGCGGTGGTGGCGTAGCCTCCGAGGCAGTGGGAGCAGGAGACCCCGCAGCCCCCGGCGAGCGCCGGCCTTGGCATGATGCACATGCCCGCGGGGGGGGGGCCGGGAGAAACGCGTCCGCCCTGCCCTCCCCGGCTGGCCCCACGTTCCGCGGGGAGGGGAGCGAGGCGGGGCGGCGACGACGAGGGGGATGGCGAGGAGGATGGCGAGGAGGGGGCGGAGGAGCAGGAGGAGGTGCAGCCTCGTCGCTCATGGTTGCCGAACGTGAGAGGGAAGAGGAATGAGGAGGAGGAGGAGGAGGAGGAGGAGGAGGAGGAGGCGGAGGAGGAGGAGGAGGAGGAGGAGGAGGAGGAGGGAGGAGGAGGAGGGAGGAGGAGGAGGAGGAGGAGGAGGAGGAGGAGGAGGAGGAGGAGGAGGGGGAAACAGAGGAGGAGGAGGAGGAGGAGCAGTATTTTCACTGCTTGAAGTGCCCCGTTGGAAGATAACCGTCTGAGCATCTTCAACCGTGTCAGAACACAACTCTTTGGACTAAAACGCTGTGTATCAACTTTACTGTCGGGTCCGGACGATCCTGCGCCGAACCAAAACACCATTCCTGATATTAGAACACCGAGAACCCACGTGATTGCTGCGCCCTGACAGTCCTAAATCGTGCCAGAACACCGTTCCTGGAACGACAGCCATCATAATGCCGTTAAGCCGCTGTAGACTTTCAAGACGAATGTGCGCGGCGCTAAAAAGAAAGCCACATTTTGAAAAAGACCAGCCCTTCATTCGTGAAGCTCTTACAATATTTCAAGACGAATGCGCGCGACGCTCAGGCGAAAACCACATTTTGAAAGCCACCCGCCTTTCATCCGTGCAAGTTTGGCCATATTTTAAGACGAATAATCATGAGTGGTGTGGCGGTCTTTGGCGAAACGCCCAGCCCATCCTACCGACACGTCTCGGGGCGCAACAGGGAGTTATTTGTTTGACGAATGCGCGCGGCACAGGGCGAGAACCACCTTTCGAAGACGACCCACCCTCCATCCGTTAACCTCTCGCGGACTTTTAAAGCGAGTGTGTGCGGCGCCCAGGCGAGAGCCACTTTTGAAAAGGGCCTGCCCTTCATCCGTGAAGCTCTTACAAACTTTGAAGACGTATGTGTGCGGCACTGAGGCGAGAGCCACATTTTGAATAACCACCCGCCCTCCATCCGTGTTTTTTGGAGTTGTGCTTTCCAGACCACTGTGAGCGGCGCTGAGAGCAGAGCCACATTTTGAAAACCACTGGCCCTCCATCCGTGAAGCTCTTGCGTGGTTTGATGGCGAATGTGCGCGGCGCTGAGGCGATAGCCACACTTTGAAAAGGACCCGCCATCCATCCGCGCAGTTCCTGCAAACTTCAAAGACAACCTTTTTCATTGTGGAGAAGTCTCTGGCGAAGCGCCTGGCCCGCTTTACCGACACGTATCGTGGCGCGACAGGGAAGAGTCACTTATCTGGAAAAAGATTGGAGGAGGAGGGGGAGAGATGGGGAGGAGGAGGAGGAGGAGGATGAGGAGGAGGAGGACCAGCGCACACCCAAGGCACATCAAGGATGTTGCAATGCACCCTCCCCCCAAGTTCAATCATAAGCTCCTATAAGATTTGATTCCACTGCGGGAAGAGCCCCGTGCCAGAGCTCCATTCGACCGTGCCAGAGCTCCATTCCTGGGACTTCAACGCCGCGAATCAGTGTTACTGCTTCGACCTGACGTTTCGAAATCGTGCCAGAACACACTTTCTGGGCTGTCAACACCGCGAATCAACGTGACTGTCGCGACCTGACCACCCTAAGTCGTGCCAAAGCCAATTTTGGAACGTCAGTTTCAAGAGTCCTTGAACTTGCTGCAGACTTTCAAGACTATGGTGCGCCACGCGAAGGCGAGAATGCATTTTGAAACAGATTGGCCTTCCGTCCGTGAAACTCTTAACTTGTAAGCGAATGTGCGCCCCTGCGACGCGAGTCACATTCTGAAAAAGGCCCGCCATCTATTCGCGAGATGGCTGCAAACTTTCAAGACAAATGTGTCCCGCGCTGAGGCGAGGGTCACGTTTTGAAAAGGAGCCGCCCTCCATCCGTGAACATCTTGCAAACTTGTATGACAAATGCGCGGGGCGCTCAGGCGAGGACCATATTTTGAAAATCATTCGCCCTGCACCCGCGAAGCTGTTGCACGTTTCAAGCTTCAGGGCCAGGAGTGGTCAGGAAGGCTCAGGCGACATGCCCGGCCCGCCCTGCAGACCTTTCTCGGGGTGCGACAGGGGGGGACTTCTTTCTAAGGAAGAGGGACGGCGGGGGAGGGAGATGGGGAGGGGGATAAGGAGGGAGGATGAGGATGGAGGAGGAGGACGAGGAGGAGGAGGATGATGATGAGGAGGAGGAGGAGGGAGAAGAGGATTATGAGGAGGATGAGGAGGAAGAGGAGGGGGAGGAGGAGGACGAGGAGGAGGAGGACGAGGAGGAGGAGGAGGAGAAGGAGGACGTGGATAAGGAGGAGAAGGAAAAGGAGGAGGAGGAGGAGGAGGAATTCGCCTGCCCTTGCCTCCTCCAAGTTCCCCTCCCTCTCCTTCTCGGGCGTGGGGGAGGGGGGAGGGAAGGTTCCAGGATCAACAGAACATTGACTAGTTGCCCCCTCTCCCCTCCCCGCCCCGGGTCCCGCCCGTCAGAGAAAACGGTGCCCAGGGTAATTGTACAGTTCTCACCCCGATTCCCCCCCCACCTCTCTCCAGTAGAGAGAGCGATGATGAAAAGAGAGGGGGGTCGGAAGGGAGGTGGGGGGGGGGAAGAGAGAGAGAGAGAGAGGGGGAATCCTTACTGAAGGGATCTTTACAACAGGGGTCCTTGCTGAAGGTTTCCGTGCTGAGGATTTCTGGGAGGATTTCTTAGTAAAGAGCCCTTGCTGAATGCATGCTTACCATGGAGCCATCCTTAGTAAGGAGTCCTTATTAAGGAACCCTTAAGTCTTCTCCTGTTCCATCTTCCTCCGAGTTTTCCCCCCTTCCTCTCTCCCCCTCCCTGTCCCTGGGGGGAAGTAATGTTGCAGATGAAAGAAGAGGTGCCAGTGAATCCACTGGTTGTTGCTTTTCGATCAAACAATGCTCTGGGATCACTGGGTATTTTTTTTCGAGCTCGGACCCCCCCGCAGAGATAGGATGGTTGGAGGGGAGGTAGGAAGGGAGGGGGGACGGGGCGAAAGAGAGAGAGAGGGAGAGGGAATCCTTTCCAAAGGAACCTTTGCTAGAGGCATTCGCCAGGGAGTCCTTCCAAAGGAACCCGTCGTGAAGGACTCCCGAAGGAGGAGTTATCATTGACTAATGACGGAATCCTTGGTCAGGAGGTCCTTACCGAAAGAATTCTAATGAACGGGATCTTCACTGGAGGAATCCTGGCTAAAGGAATCCTTGTTCATGGGCCCTTTCGAGGGAAGTCTTTCTGATGGAGTTGTCATTGGAAGGGATCCTGATTAATGATTCCTTGCGAAGGAGCCATTTCTGGAGGATTCCCTACCAAAAGGGATCCCTTTTCATTGATTTCCAATTTGACTCCATACGCTAAATGCTGGAACGCGAGACACCATGGGAAAACACAGCAAACACAGCAAACACAGTAACCACATCAGTAGTAGGATTTCGACAGAAATTCAGAAAGAGAGAGAGAGAGGGCACCATTTCGTGAGGGTTCCTAGCTAATGAGTCCTTGAGCACAAGTTTTTTCGTGTTGCTTCCCTCAGTACGGAATCCATGCGCAAGGATACCTGCAGTGAGGACTCCTTCTGTCAGGATTCCTTCGGATGGCTTTCCGGGCGAGATCCCCTCCCCCCTCTCCCCCCCCCCCCCGTTGCCATCCCAGCCCCCTCCCTTGTCCCCCAGCCCCCCGCTCCAGCTCCACTCTGTCTGCTCCCCGAGGCCGCGTCACACGCGGCTCGTCGTCGCCCTGGGGCACAACTGCGTCTACAACTCGCCCTCCCAGGTCCGCAGGCCTGGGGCCACTCGCCGCCGGCAGGGGAGGGGAGTGGCAGCGGGGCCTCACCTCCCTCTCCTCCCCCTCCGCTCTGCTCCCTCCCTCCCTTCCTCCCCAGACGTCCGACGTCGCGATTTCCTTCGAAACTCGGGCCCCCGACCTCCCGACCACTTCCCCGGGACCGGTTTTTCATCCCGAGTCGTCTTCTGACGGTCCCGAGGCCCGGCGTGGGCCCCGAGAGGCCGAAAACGACGAAAAACCTCCGTCTCGATTTTTTCGAGACGCCCGACGTCTGGGTCCCCCCTGCTCCCCGTCCACGACCTGCCATTTTTGTACACGATCCGAGGCCACGACCTCACGTGCCCTGCCCAAAAGGGGCACGGGCACACTCGCGTGCGCGACTCCGGCGCCTTGGCTTCGCTTCGCCCTCCGCTTCGCTCCTTCTTTTCGCTTCGCCCTGTGCTTCGCTTCGCCTTCGCCGTCGCCTTCGCCTTCGCCTTCGCCTTCGCCTTCGCCTTCGCCCCGTCCCGCCAGGGGGAGGGCGTCCTTCCATCTTGGAGGAAAGTGTGATGCCCACGCTCTGGGGTGAGCGCCTGCGCTTGCCTGGCTCCAGCGGGCCCAGCGGCTTCTCCTCGGCTCGCCGCCCTGGAGCGAGCGCCCTGCTCTGTTCGCTTTTTCTTGGGGGGTGCTCGCCTTATCAGTGCTGTCTTGTCTCCTCCCCCTAGGTCGTTTCTTTCGAGCGAGGAGAAAGGCCCCCCTCCGACTCTCAGAATTGGCGTTTCTTAGCGGGCCTGGGCGTTCATGTGGTTGATCGGGCCCGGGAGCGGAATTTGGGCAGCCTGAAGGCTCCTGAGAGCGTTAGTAGTGGTTGCGCCTTGTCGCTCAGAGTCGCACGCAGGACTAGGGGTCTGGAAACGGGAAGGCCCATGCTAGTGATAGTGTTGCACTTTGTCTCGTGGAGTCGCGCTCTGGAGCAGAGCTCTGCCGTCTCGACGGCCGCCGAGAGCTGGACGGTCACATCCAGTGGCCGAGGATCGCCCCTGGTCGCAGCGTGCTGGCACGGCTGATGGCCGCGGCTGGAAATCGCACCCGTGAGCGGGGCCCTGCCGCACGAAGGCCGCTGTGGAAGCGCTGGCTCCTGCTTGACCTCTTGACCTCTTGCTGCCTTGCTCGCGCGCTGCACGGCACGCGCGTGGGACACCGCAGCCTTTTGGCCCAGAAGAGGACCTAGAGTCCGAACCGCGTCGCCAGCTAAAAGTGGTTCAGAGCGGTCATGCACCGAGGGCGGCACACACGTGGCTCGGGCGCGTGCCCACGACTGCCGAGGCTTCGTTTGGATCGCGGCTTGCTGCTTCGCTCTGACGGCGCCGGGCCTGCTCCTCCTCCTCCTCCTCCTCCTCCTCCTCCTCCTCCCGCCTCCTCCTACTCCCCTTCCCTCTTCCTCCGCTACTAGACCCTCTTTTCTCTCATGCCTCCTCTTTCTCCGTACCCCCCCTTCTCCTCATCTTGCCCTTCCTCCACCGGGAGTCCGCACCGGAGCTCACACCAGGCGCGCGTGCCGAGCGCGCTCTCCGTCGGGGCAGGGCGGCGCAGACAGGCAGGCCCCTCCCGCGCCCGGCGAGCGAGGGGCCCTCCGGCGGAGCCGCCGCCGCGTGCCCGCGAGGCGTGCGCGGCCGCGGGCGGTGTCCGACGCAGGGCGGGGGCGCAGCTCGCCGTCGCAAGTCCAGCGGAGGGCTCGCGCGTGCGCGTGTGCTCCGTGCCGGGCTGCTCCCGGTCCTCCGCCTCCCAGGGCCGCCCGGCCTCGCGGAGCCCCCCTCGCGTGCCCCCCGGGCGGTCCTCGGGGCCTCCTCTCGCTTCGGAGCATCGGCCCGCCCAGGAGTCACTGGTCCGTCTGGGCCTGCGGATGGCCGCCGGGACTGCCGCAGTGGTTGGGGTCACACCGCCCCCGGGCCACTGTTGGGACCACCGTGTGTCGGGGCCAGGTTATGCGGGCCTCCCTCCAAGGGGGGAAAAACAACCCCGACCCCGTCTACCAAACGGACCTGGGCGATTACTAAGCAGCCCTGTCCTGTTCGCTCCCTTCCTTGGGCGCGCTTGCCCTCCTCCTCCCTCCTCCTTCCTCCTCCTCCTCCTCCTCCTCCTCCTCCTCCTCCTCCTCCTCCTCCTCCCTCCTCCCCTCTCCGGCAGCCCGGAGTGCTGCTTCTTCTCGGTGCGCCTCGGTGCGAGCAGCACAGGCGCACGCACCCGACGATGTCCTCTTCCGCCCCGCGGCGTGCCCCCCCCCCCCGAGGCCTAGAGGCCCCTCTGTCGGGACTGGCTCTTCATGCAGGGCCGTTCCTTGACGGCCCCGATTCCCGGCGACGCCCCTAGATTCCGACAACTTTTGAAAACTTTCCTATATTTTTTTTTTTTCGGGGGCGGCAGAGAGGGGGATAATGACTAGGGGGGGGATATCATGGCGTCGGCCATGATATTTCCCCAGATTTCATGGCGCCTCTTCTTGTTTCATTGCGTCCATGATTTGCACCTCCCCCTCTTGGACGCCCCCCTCTTGGCCGCCCCCGATTTTTTTTTCATGTCGAGAGAAGTTGGGCGGCAGCCGATCCCCGCAGCATCGATCCCGACGTCCCGACATGCGCCGCTCGCTGCCGGCTCTCCGCGCTTGGCCGGCCCGGGGGCCCCACCGTGCACAGCGAGGTGGCAAGGCAAGCCGGCCCCCATCGGGTTCCTACTCCTCCTGCTCCCTCTCCTCCTCCTCCTCCTCCTCCTCCTCCTCCTCCTGCTCCTGCTCCTCCTCCTCCTGCTCCTCCTGCTCCCCCTCCTCCTCCTCCTCCTCCTCCTCCTCGTCGTCGTCGTCGTCGTCGTCCTCCTCCTCCTCCTCCTCCTCCTCCTCCTCCTCCTTCCTCCCTCCTCCTCCTCCTCCTCCCTCCTCCTCACCCTCCCTGCTCCTCCTTCCTCCTCCCCTCCTCTCTCCTCCATCCCTCCCTCCAGCTTCCTCCCCCTCTCCTCCTCTACGTTTCGCTATCCCAGCATGCTCGTTCCCCCCTCCCCCCAGTCCCCCGACGCCACACTTGTTTCACCACGTGGGAAGTCCTCTAAGATCTGGACCCCTCCTCCTCCTCCTCCTTTCCTCGTCCTCCTCCTCCTCCTGCTCCTGCTCCTCCTCCTCCTCCTCCTCCTCCTCCTCCTCCTCCTCCTCCTCCTCCTCATCCTCATCCTCATCCTCATCCTCATCCTCATCCTCATCCTTCTCTTTAGGAGCGCGCCCCGCGCTCTCGCGCGCGCCCTCCCGAGAGCGCGCGGGGGCCGGCGGATCTGGGTCCTCGACCCGCAGAACGGCCACAGCCGCTGGACGAGGGAGGGGCCGACGCTGTGGAGCGACCGGTGCGCGGGGGACCTGGAGGGTGGCGACATCCGCAGGGCCATGGGCGGCCGCGCCGCGTGCGAGCCCGGCGCGTGGTCGACGCCGGTGGCTCGCCGCGGGAAGCCTGAGATCCTGGCGTGGCACCGGTTGTCGCCAACGGGCGTTCTCGCCGAATTTCGGGCCCCGGGGCCCTCACGGATCGATCCGGCACGAAGAAGTATACGCAGGAAGGTGGGGTCTGGAGCTCCGGGCGTGCTCTTTCGCGATGTTGCCAACTGCAAGCCTGCGGCAACGTCGGATTTCAGGGGAAAGGAGCAGGAGGGTGCGAGGAGGACCCGCACCGCTGGAAGGACGGCCTTTTCCTGTAGAAGAATCGGGGGTGGACAGAACCCCCAGCAGTGACACGTCGATTCGTGAATTCTCCGTTTTCGGCTCTCGAGAGGGCGCCGCGGCCGTTCTTTTCCAGGCTTGCGCCCTCCAGGCTTGGGCCTCGGGTCGTTTTCACTCAGAGCGTGAATTACCTACCCCGCTTTCGCTTCCAGGCAAAACCAAGCCATGCCACGCGCCTCCTCGTCAAGCGGCCTGACCAGTACAGGCTGCAATTTGGCATCGTTTGGTATCTCTTGGAAGCGAGGGTGGTCAAAAGCGAGGTAGGTTTGTTTTCCCCCTATGAACCACGTGTTACCAAAGGGAGGTCTGTCCATCCCCGAACGAAGGAACCGCAGAAGACCATGAACCGTCGGAGGCCCGCGGGATTTTTCCCGGGCCGCCGCCTCGGCGGCGCGTGGGCCAGCCACGCTCAGCGGGGGGTGGAGGGAGGAGGAGGAGGAGGAGGAGGAGGAGGAGGAGGAGGAGGAGAGGAGGATGGAGGAGGAGGAGGAGGTAGGAGGAGGAGGGGGGAGAGGAGGAGGGAGGAGGAGGAGGAGGAGGGAGGAGTAGTCGTATGCTGATGGATTCGGGAGAGCGTTAGTGGGAGGAGGAGTAGGAGTGGGTATGGCAGGATTTAGGAGGAAAGGACTGGGAAGTGATTATTATGTTTATGTAGGTGGCGGGCCTTTTTGAGAAGCACCCCCCCTGCTCCTCGGGGGCCTGGAATGCTCTGGCCGTCCCTCCGGTAACCCTGGCGACCCCACCTCGCCAGAAGACGCTAGCCGCCTCCCTGCTGAAGGCCTGTACTCCCTTTCCCGCCCTATCCTTGCCCCTCCTCGCCTCCTCCCTCCTCCTCCCTCCGTCATCATCCTCCTCCTCACTCCTCCTCCGCTCCTCCTCCTCCCTCCCTCCTCCTCCTCCTCCTCCTCCTCCTCCGGTGCGCGCCGGCCAGGTAAGACGGGGGGCCACCTGCGAGCCCTACCCCTACCGCCCTCACGATTTCTGGGGGGAGGGTTGGGGTTCACTTCCCTCGGGAGCTTCCCGAACGAAGCGAACCCCGCCCCCCCCCGCCCCCCCCCCCCCCCTCAGAAATCGTGGGGGGCAGGGGTAGGGCTCCGCGGTGGCCCCCTAAGAGCCGGCCCCGGCGCCCCCCTCGCGGCCCAGGCACCCCTGCGGGGCGACGAGCTCTGCACAGAGCCACCGCCACTGGCCACGCCCCGGAGCGGCGTGCGCGCCTCCCCTGGACGAACAAGAACACGACGGGAGGTCTCCTCCTCCTCCTCCTCCTCCTCATCCTCCTCCCCCATCCTCCTCCTCCTCCTCGTCCTCCTCCTATTCCTTCCCCTCCTCCTCCTCCTCCTCCTCCTCCTCCTCCTCCTCCTCTTCCTCCCAGA